ACACCACCATAATTCGGGTAAATCATTTCGAACCGGCTCAGTCCTGATCCAATCTCCTCTCCACCTCTACGTGCTCCTCTACATCGCTCTCACTTGAGCCTCCTTCCTCTTCCTCCTCATCATCATGCGCTTCCATTTCATTACCTGGAGATCTAAGCCTAATTAATCCCTTCATAGACCCATATCCATCAACTCCCCACTCTTCCTTCGCCATGTCACCCAAGAACTCTCTTGAGGGTGAGAATATAGGGGTGGGAAGAACGGCCGGGGTCACTGGAGAAGGGCACGCCAGCGAGGCAATCCCACCGGCCTTCTTCGCCCGGATAAGATATGAGGTCGTGTTCCTCGGCGCATATGGAGCAAAATGGTTGTCGAACTTTTTCTTAGGGTAAAATTTCCTGGCCTTTAACCTGTTCTGGGACTGCAATTCATTTAGTGTCGGGGGCTTGTAGCCTCCGGCACCACTGGGAACCGGAGCAATAGCAGGATTAGGAGTAGACTTATCAGTTCTTCTCATGGAATCCTTCATGGATCGCATCTCGCCGGTTACCTTCTTGCCCTTCCAATTGCCTCGATTTGACTGCTTCGGTAAGCGAGGAAAGTTATTAAGTTTCGAAGAAGAAGGGATTTGGTACTGCTTGTTCAACTTATGGTTAGGTTTGTAACTTCTACTATTCAACATCAGCGGCTGGTTCAACATAGGCTGAGATTGTCCCAAACTAAGGGGTTGAGGTTGATTCATCTGACCAAAAACCGGGAGGTTCATGGTCTGCGACTGACCCAACAACTGTGTCTGGTTCAAGATTTGGGATTGAACAGGGTTCATCACCGGCGGTAGAGGCTGACTCATCATCTGCGGCGGCTGGCTAATCATTTGTGGCGGTTGCTGATTCATCATTTGTGAATGCTCATTCATGTTTCGTGCCACCTCACAGAGATATAAACAAACTAAAAACCGATTAAAACCTTACCGAACGTACACAACAAGCAATTCTTATTTAAAACCCTAGAAAACACGAAAACCGGATTCCAAGAAACCGATAAACCCGATTGCTTCTGTATCAGTCCCTGCTTTTTTGATCGATCAAATTGAGATCTACAACCAGATCCACAGATTAGCGAATCAATTCGTTAGTTTCAATCAAATTCGAACCAGAAAGAAACTAAAAGAAAACATGCAAGATTAGAACCAACATCCTACAGGTTTCGGCTTTGATTGTTAACGGAGAAAAATTACTTGTTTACTACGATTATTTCTCTCCTTAAAAAGTTTTTCTCTCGAGAGAGATCTGGAATTTTCTCTGCTTCTTGGAGGGTTTAGTTCTCCGTATTGAAATTCGGGAAAGGCGAGGAGATAAGGATCCTTTTATAGACGGAGAAGGAATTTTTTAACGGCTACGATTATCTCATCGGTAGATGAACGGTTCAGGATTGAGCTGCTTCCTTAATACGAGTCATATAGTCGGTTCAATTTATGAATTTTGTTTTTATTTTATTCTTTTCTAACTAATAAAAAATTTTCCTAAATAATACGAATCTAAAAAAAATGGTAATTTAATTATTTAATAAAATAAATTAAAATAAAGCCATAAAATAATAAAATAAATAAAAAATAAAAATTAGTTACCTATATAGTCGAAGTCGGGCTTATTCCGGCCCAATGAAATAGACCGGGTCGGGCAGCCTAATAGAATATTCTTAATGTTCTTGTCCAACCCGGCCCGACTCAGCAATAGTGCATGGGCCGGGTTGAGCCCGCACGTCCACCTTCCTAATATGCTCGAAATAATTTGATTTTTTTTTAAAAAAAAACAAAACATAAAATGTTGTAATTTAATTATAATTTAATTATTATTTTTGAATATATTTATATATGTATATTCTAATTTTTTTTAATTCCCATCTTAATTAGGGTCAATAATATAATTTTGGAATTTTGACTCTTGCTTTATCTATTAATTTAGTCAGTAATTAATTAATTAAACTACAAATTCAAAATTTTTTGTAATTAATAAAACTAAACAAACCAATTTTCCGGTCATAAAAAATAATTTAAATTTATTTCCAGTTAATTTTAAAAACTACTGTGTTTATTTGAAATTTTAAACTGATTTTAATTTTAGTTTTAATAATTGAGATTGATTTTTATTTAAATTATTTAACAATTAAAATTTCAATTTAAACTTTGAAAAAACTAATCCAAAAGTATATTCATGAGAAGTCCAAATAACCAAAAGTTTTATATGTATGTATATATATATATATATAGTCTAAAAAGGAAGACAATTAATTCTGCTACACGTTTCTACTTTCAGAGAAGTTCCTGCAACACATACATGTAAGTTAAGCTAAATGAGAATGTTGAGTGATTGAACTTACACTTTTAAAACACTAGAATACATAGATAAGAGATTCAGTTGATGGTGATCTCTAACTCCATGAATAAAACAATGGGGTTTGGCAGGTCAAAAACTTTTTATCAACCCTAAATGAAGAAAATACCAAGAACACTAACATCTCTCATTTACAATAATGCCTATACAAGGGTTAAGTTCTTTGATTTGGATCATAACTCGGAGTTCGGATTGTTTCCAGCAAGAATTAGAGAGATCTCCAGACCACGACTGAACGCCTGGTTAAACATCAACCTTGTTTGGAATGT